CATCCATTCCTTCCTCCACTGTTTTTAGGATCCATCTGCTATATATTTATAGCCGTTTCATGTTTGAAGGAGTGAGGAAATAGGAGGGATGTGAAGGAACCTTGTCCGTGACATGACCATCGCTTCCTTTAAAGGGACAGTTCGGATTTCCCCCAGCAAAAACCATTAGAAATAAGTCAACATCTCATCAATTAGGTGTATTTCCCCTTAATTGGAGCAGGTAAATAAGATGATCTGCCAGTGGAATGAGTATATTTACACCTAAAATAAGATAATTAGATAATATGCACTAGAAATAAGAATGCAATTGGTTATTTTTATCTTATTTGAAATGGAAATTGTCTCTTTCCATAACCAAAGTGTCTCATTTACCTCCTCAATTCAATAACAAATGCACCGATTTTCAGAAAACTTAATTTAAATGACTTATTTAGATTTAAATTTTTCCAGTGTAGGGTTCTGGGTTCTTATGAATGTGAGCGGCCCCCGCCATACTGATGTGATCTTATATGTTGTTTGCAGATTTTCCATTATTTAAATTTTAAAGGCTTTAATTTAGTTTGACTCTGGTTATTTAAGGAATATGATTTAGCAGTTTTTAAATTAAACATTGCTGGGTGGGAAGATTTGAATGAAGGAACCATTGAACCATCTTCAAATTTACTGGTTTTTAATGTGGGGTTCACTGCAGCAGGTGTGAGTCGTCACTATTCTACCTGCAGCAGACGGACGTTTGATCATTTTACTGAGAAAAGCTGAGTTTTACGTTAAAGGAGGAGAACTGAGTGTTGGTTCTGATTGCAGGTCTGGTTTAGCATCCTCTATGTATGCTGCCCTCACACTAACAGGATTATAGAGAATAATTCAAGTGTTTTGTCCTGAAGTCAAACTTCTTTATTGTGATAAATGTTTGTTTTTAAACCATCAGCCTGTATAATGAGTAGCTGGTCATTTCCCCCCCATCGTCCGGCTTTAGGAGGAAAGGTGCCTTATCTGAGTTAATACGTCTCTGTCTGTTTTAAGACAAACCAATCAGAAATGTTTCATTTAAGGAATGACCTGAATAAGTTAAACGATGAAGAAAAAATACAGAAACTTTAATATATTAAAAAAAAACCTTCTGATTAAATCCTAAACTTTTGCACTTCGATGGTTTTTTATGGGTGGTATGAAATATTTCCCTTTAATTCGTTTTCTTGGAAACTTCCTTAGTTTGTCAGACTTCATCACTTCTATCAAACTAAAACATTTTTTCTCTTCAAAGACAAAGACTGACGTTTGATTTCTGCACGTTTGTACATAAAAGCAGACCGAAGGAGCTGTGAAGAAGAAGAAGAAGAAGTGCCTGTTTTTGTATTTAAAGCTTCTTGTTCTCCGAGCAGAGACCCCCCCCCCCTCCACTGAGGCCCTTCCTCCTGCAGCAGCAGACAAACGCAGCGTCCCTGCTTTGATTTTCATGCCAAATCATTCTCAGTATTCCGTGTTTCTGTGCGGGGAAGCCTTAAGACGAAGAGACTGTTTACTTTCCTGGTGTACAGATGAATAAAGGAGGTTTTTTGAAACTCTCTGAGGCTCTGTCTCCTTTTATGCATCAGTGCTTTTGAAAATGTCTTTTAAATGTAACATCAGCAGAGACAGCCAGAATAATCTCTGACGAAACACGGGAGGCAGTCTGGACTGAGGCGCAGTTACAAACTCCAATATGTGGCGGGAATATAAATGGAAAATTATTAGTAGGTATTTCAGGACCCCAGATGTTGTTGCCAAGATGGATCCTAGATTACCGTAGCCTCGTGAGACC